TATTTTTTTCCTTAAACTCTTTACCAAGCCAAACAATATTACATAAAACGAAACAAAGGGAAGCACTCCATTAAGCCATTTATACGTCATAATGAGATTATCCAATGTGCAATAGATACTAAAGCAGCTACTAGTGATGGAGTCGGAATTTTTACTAAGAAATTTCAGCTCTCTCTCTCTCTCTCTCTATATATATATATATATATATATATATATATATATGAACATTTAAAGAAGTCAACAGATTTAACTTCTACTATATATATATATATAAAATATTGTTAACTTTGTATATATAGTACTCCCTCCGTTTCAATTTATGTGAATTCATTTGACAGGGCACGAGGTTTAAGAAAAGAGAATTTTTTTTAAAATTTGTGGTGTAAAATGATGCACAAATATTTTGTGTGACTATAAATTATTGCATAAAAGTAAATTGTTATTAAATAAGGAAATTGATCATTCTTTTTGGCACGGACATAAAATAGGTTCACATAAATTGAAACAGATAGAGTATAATTTTTCGGCAAGGAGGTTCATACCCCTTCCGTCACCTTCCCTCCGCCCATGGTAGCTATAGAAAAAACGGCATGTTAATTAACTTAGAGTTTAGAGAATAAAAAGTAATTTGTTGGTATCCATCATTTCTAAGGGCCCCTAAGCATGATTAAATAAAACCTTAAAATAAATCGCAGTAATATAATGCGGCGACACGGTTGTTATGGTCACTTTGATTCTATTACTTATCTTTAATCATATGCTATTTGACTGCCACGTAGTGCATTTCCTAGCCATACCAATAGTTGTAATTCCTCCTTTAAACCTATATAATCCATATTATATTCTATTTTATGTACTTTGTGCTATTAATTTAGGTTATGGGACTCCAGTACAAGTCACTACAAAAGCATATTAAAATATGAATTATTAATTCAGCAGCACCTAATTAGGCTCAAATAGGATTTGCTTTTTCCAACATACTCCCTCCGTTCCGGCGTGACTGTGCACGAAATTTAAGAAAAAAGAGAAGACTTTTAAATTTGTGATGTAAAATGAGGCATATATATTTTGTGTGGCTATATATCATTACATAAAAGTAAATTGTTTCCATATAAGGAAAATGGTCATTTTTTTTGGCACGGACCGAAAAGGAAATAAGTTCATATAAATTGAAACAGATAGAGTATATAGTTTTAATATTTGGTTGAAAGTTTTATTCCCTTGAATAGAAAGATTGGTTAACAAGTAAGGTCAATATCTTTGAATTTATCTATAAATGTCAATTAAAGTGTGGTGATTAACTAATAATTTGCAGCTAACCTTTCAATTTATAAGAGCATGACGTGTTCTCTACATGATCACATCTTTTCTGTATAATTAACGTATAATGTAAGTTATCCTACTTCTATTTAGTTGCTTTTTATTTTATGTTTGTTAAAAAGTTGTTTTAAGATTTAACAAAACTCGAGTATAAAAACTATAAAACAACCAACTCTATTTGTAAACCCTTAATCATAACTATATCTAATTAACTAAGTCCCTATCCTGTTCAAAACCAAGGTAAAGAATTCCGTTCCTCAACGTAACACATGTTTTTTTTTTTTTTAAAGAAAGCCAAAAGTTGTTTTTTATTTCCTGAAACTATTTTCTAGTTTTCGTCTTTTCATTTCAAAATCAATCTCTTGAAACAAAAAGAGATAGAGAAACAAACCCAAATAAAGAGGATTAGTTTTAATAAAAGCCATGTTGAATTAATGTGCCGCATGAGGATAAAAAAGGTTCTGTAAAATCTATTTCCTAATTGGTGTTCATATCAAAATCAAATTTATCATAGTTACAAAGTGATAATTTGAATGGAAAATATTATTAAATAATTAAAATTTAATGATAATAGTGTAGGTGAAACTATACGTATTATTTAAAAGTGCGCTCAAGTATATATCTTAATGGTCAATGAAGTGGGTTGGTCAATGAAGTAGGCTGAAAATCATTACGTCTTAGATTCAAATTTCAACCGATACACAAATGTCGAATTATTTCTTTCCAATATGTTTAAAAGAATTATTCAATACGGGTGAGAAACAATATATACCATGAAATTAATTGAGATCACCCGAATACTACAACTATAAAAAAATAATACTATATACTTTTAGATCTCAAAAAGTGTGCCTAACTAGCTAAGAGAAAAATGTAACAAAATCACGCTATGCCTATGATATGAAATGATCCTATACTATGCTTGTAGTATAATAGATGATTAGAAAAGCCCTGACAAATTCTAGTCACCATCAAAGAAGCACGCGCAGTAAGAGTAACAGATCCAAGACAATAATATTTTTAAGATTTGGCCAAAAATTAAATTGAAACCAGAGGTTTTGGTCCATTTCATAATAATAATAACAATATGTTTGTGTTTTATACCTTTTCTACGATTGAGTATATAGGGGTATACATAAGTCGAGTTAGTTCAGATTTTTTAATTATCAAACCAAATCAACGGTGTCATATTTTTAAATATAAACTAAACCAAACCAATAAAGTCGGATATTTCAATCTCTGTTTTTCTCGAATTTTTTAATTTTTTTCGGATTTTCGGGTTTTCTTCTGGTAAAGTCTTCATAGCACAAAATATGCAATTTGTACTCAAGTATTTCTTTAGTCTTACTAAGATACAACTATATGATGTATTTTTCAAGAAAACAACACAATAATATAAGATAAGTCATAACATTATACTAAAATATTCAATAACAAAGATGATAAAATTGCATAAATCAAATATTTCTAGTTAATAAGCCTAAACGAAAATTAACAGACCTGAAAATACTATATATAGGTTATGATAAAATAAGTATAGCTAATAAGTACTATTAATTATATAACTAAGCAATACAAAAAAGATAAATTAAATTATGCATTCTTCGTTATAAACCAATGTAAAACTAAAAAAATAGATATCCAACATTATCGTCATTCCTACTGTTAATTAAATTTCTTTTGTTAGCATTGGTATTGATTTGAACTTTATTGAGTTACTATATTTATGGGCAATAAAATTTATTTATCATTCAAGAATGTTAAGTCCAAACTTGAAATAATACGTTAAAAGATAAAACGGTGAAAAAGTTTAAGAAATATTTATAAATTACATTACGAAAATATTTATATGTATAGTTTTAAAAAAATTTTATATAAATGTATTATCGAATTGGTTTGGTTTCGATTTGACTTTTTTTAGTTAACATCAAATCAAATCAATTATGGTCGAATTTACACCAAACCAAATCATAATCATTTTTTTTTTCAGGTTTTGACTCGTATTATCAATTTGGTGCGATTTATCGATTTTCTTGGTATGTCTCTAATTGAATCAATGAAATAAGAAAGTTTGGCATTAATTCTCTAAAACACATCAAGTACAGCTTAATAATTTATCATAAACATTGGATCTTAAATCTCTGTGGCTATGATTGATCATCAAGTATACAAATTTTGGCATTATTTGCATACATTTTCTAGAATTTGCTAGCTGTAATGGTCGGGGTTGAAAATCATTAAGGGGTTCCTTTCTTCCTACTTTAATTTTAGTTTATAATAAATCTAATTGACATATTCTCGCCGTTTCAAAATGTTTCACTTTATTATTTCTGAAAATAACCTTGTTAAATTTTTAACACAACTTTTAGAAACAATTTCATGAAATATTTTGGAATAGAAGCATACCATTTTTTTGTGTGCTATACTTTAAAACTTAAAATATTACACGTTTGTTTTTCAGCAATTATATATATTGCGAAGTTTTTAATAATACTTCTTTATGTACGTTGTATGTTACTCAAATAATTAGTCAATACAACTCTGGTAGAAATTAGCACGGCGTGACTCTTAAATGGGAGGGTCGTTCCCATTTTTTATAGTCTTAGCAAAATATTCTTTTTTTTTTTACTTGAACACCGCAGTTCTTTAATTTTTAAAGCTTGAAATTTTTATTTGATGGTAAAAAATAAAAGTTAATGTCATTGTTAAAATTATTTAAATATTAATAATTTGTGCTTAAACTTTTAGTTCAAACACATATTTTTGTGATTTACTATAAAAATCTCAAAACTCCATTATTGGACCATAGAAAGTGTTGAAGAAGACAAAATGACTTTTTTCTAATTTGATGTTATTCTAAATTGTTGATTAGAGATCGTTTTGTATTGGTATTTGAAAGCTTTGTTTTGAATTTGAGATCATTTGGAGCAGATTTGGGGTTGTGTTGATCAAAATTGATGTTGCAAATTCGAAAAATACTTTGTTAAACAACCCAGAAAAAGTATGTCAATCTGGTAGATTTCGATGAACAACTTAACAGATAAGTAGACAAAATATAACATCAATTCCACCGACCTAGTAGAAAAGTCCCTGAAGAGCAGAAATATGACAATCCAGTTGACTTCAATGAACAACTTAACAAATACGTAGAGTAATAATAGCATTAACTCTACCGGATTGGTAGAAAAATCCTGAAGAACAATAGTATGACAATCCGAGAGATTTTGATGAACAATTTAATCCGATAGAGAAACCCCTGAAGAACTTGTGCGGGTCTAAGGTCATTTTTTAAATACCATTTTGAGGATATTCCACTTGAACCATGTGAGCTTGATGATTCTGAGTTTATCTCTTGGATTCAACCATGCATTCACCAGTGGAATTCAATTTGGGAAGGAACTTGAGAGAAGATGAGAGATGCAAAAATGAGAGAAAATGAATCTGTATTGAACAAATGTAATTGCACGTGTATATGTACTACTAACTTAACTATGGTTCTAATAATTTAATCATGGTCAGCTGGGATCCACTAACTACCTTAACTAACTAGAGACTAGCTTAACTACTTAACCATATATTCTCCACAACCCCCTCAAGCTGGAGGGTGTAAAATATTGAGCATTCCAAACTTGCCTAAAAGAAATGTATGATCTGAGTGGCCAAGCCCCTTAGTCAACAAATCAGCATGTTGATCCTTCGTCCCCACAAAATGAGGCATGAGTGCGTTTGTTTAATCTTGTCAGCACAAAATAGCAGTCTATCTCTATATGTTTAGTACGTTCATGGAAGATATGATTAGTTGCAAATTGTAAAGAAGCCTTGGTATCACAATAAACATTCACATGCTGCTTGATAATCACTCCAAACTCAGCAAATAGGCCCAACAACCACACAATTTCTGCTGTCACTGCTACTAGACTTCGATACTCTGCCTCTGCAGAGCTTCTTGACACTATATGCTGCTTTTTAGACTTCCAAGATATGAGTGAATCGCCAAATTTGATCAAGTATACAGTGACTGATCTGCGTGTGTTTGGGCAGCTTGCCCAATCAGCATCACAGAAACGGGTCAAGCTGTCTCCATTAGATCTACATAGAAATATTCTCATCCCTGGCTCTTGTTTAATGTATTTGACAACTCTCACAGTTGCACCCCAATGAAACTTTTTGGGCTCTTGCATGAACTGACTGAGTTTGCACTGCAAAATATAATATCTGTCATGGTAATGGTGAGATAAATTAGCCTACCAATCAGTCGTTGACATTCACTTACATCAGATAATACTTCATCACCTTTTTAAAAGAAAAATTTAACCCCTCCCAAATTAGGAGGATCTATAGTGTTTTCACACTTTTCCTCTAGCGTGACTCGAATCCATGACCTAATGGTCGTAAGTGGAGGTGCTTTTACTAACTGAGCAAGCCTCACTTCTAGTACTTCATCACATGTATCCTAGTGTGTCTATCAAATTCAGTTGAAGTAAACTTTTGATTGAGGTCTATTGGAGTGGAGACAGGCTTGGCACCACCTAAGCCTAAATCAAAGATTAGCTGAAGACAATATTTCCTTTGATTCAACAAAATTCCACTCTTGGATCTCAACACTTCAATTCTCAGGAAGTATTTAAGATCACCAAGATCTTTGACCTTAAACTGTTGGTGAAGCACAACCTTAGTCTCACTGATGAACTGTGTGCTATTCCCAGTTATCAACAAGTCATCTACATATATCAACACTGCCACAAAATCTTCCCCCTTTTTTCTTAGTGAACAAGAAGTAGTCATGAAGTCTTTGAACATAACCTGCAACTATTAGAGCCTCACTAAGCTTAATATTCCACTGCCTTGTAGCTTTCTTTAGACCATATAATGACTTCAGTAGTCTGCAGACCTTTGTATCCCTCTGTCTCCTGAAATCTTGAGGAAGTTCGATATACACTTCCTCATACAAATCTCCCCCCAAGAATGCATTATATTTATCCATTTGTGAAATGTTCCAACCTCTAGAAGCAACAATAGCACTAACAGACCTCACAGTTACCATCTTGAAAACTGGTGAGAAGGTTTCATTATAATTCAAACCTTCTCTTTGGCTATACCCCTTGGTAACTAGTTTGGCCTTAAATCTTTCTATTTATCCACTAGCCTTATACTTGATCTTGTACACCCATTTTGACCCAATGGCCTTTTTCCCCTTTGGCAGGTCCACAATACTCCAGATTTTGTTATCTTCCAATGCCTTAATCTCCATTTCCATTGCCTCAATCCACCTTTTGTCCTTTGAAGCCTCACTGAATGTCTTTGGATCAGTCAATGTGGAAATGTTAGCATGAAGCTCCTGCATTTGTCTGTCAACCTTGCATAGGATAAGTAGTTGGACAGTGGATATGAGGATCCAAGTCCCTTCTTGGTGGTCACATAGTCTTGTAGCCACAAGGGCTCTTTTGAATCCCTTTTGGACTTCCTTACTTCATTATTTTCTAGCTCCACAATTGATGGGAGAATGGTATCATTTAGGAGTGTTGATTATTGTTGTGTAGGTGCAAACATGTCTGCATCATCTGGAATTGAATCAGCAACTCCAGTCTTAGGCATGTCAACAATGTTATCCTCTATAACCACTGGTAAGACCTGCTTAACATGAGCATCTTCCTCTACATCTTCTTCACTTCCTTCAGTGTCAACTGATGTATGTGCATCATAACTTCTTGGCTCAGTAGACTCATCTGGGATACTATCTCCAACTCTCTCAGGCTGCAAGTCTGCACCATTAGGAGGATACTGTGGTGGGGACTCATGTTGCTCAGGATATTTCACAAACACATCAGTTGTTGTGTGTTCTTATGCAATGTGATTTTGGGGAGCAGGTTTGGCAAATGGAAATATATGCTCCTTAAATACTATATCTCTGCAAAGAAAGAAGTAGTTAGTAGACAAGTCCATTAGCCTATAGCCCTTCTGTGTTTCTACATATCCCAGAAATGCAGCTGCCCTTGCTCTTGGTGAAAATTTATCTTTTTAACTACATTGGTGGCATAACAAAGGCATCTAAACACCTTAAGATGAGACAATGAAGGTGAATTGTTATGTAAAGCTTCATATGGAGTCTTGCCATTTAACATAACAGTAGGTAATCTATTGATCACATGGACTGTTGTTTTAATGCATTCACCCTAGAATCTTGTAGGATACTTGCTTGAAACTTCAATGCTCTTGATATATCTAGAATATGTCTGTGCTTCCTCTCCATTACTCCATTTTGCTGTGGAGTGTATACGCAGCTTCTCTGATGGCTTATCCCATAGACATCAAATAACTTTTTCATGTGTTTGTTAAAATAATTTCTCCCATTGTCTGTCCTAATCACTTTGATTCTAAATTGAAATTGTGTTAGTAACATAGAAAGAAACTTCTTTAGCACCACAACAACATCACTTTTCAACTGAAGTAAGTGTATCCAAGTATATCTTGTATTATCATAAAAAATAGTCAAAAAGAAATATTTCCTATCATGAGTGGGATACTTACATGGTCCCCAAACATCCAAATGCAAGAGAGATAGAGGATTATCACTTCTAGTTAAACTTCTAGGAAATAGTAATCTATTTTGCTTAGCAAGAGGGAACACATGGCATTCATTATTCATTGCTATATCTACAACTTTATTTTAAAAGAGATCCATATTCTTCATAGTACTAACGGAGGCATGGCCTAGTCTTCTGTGCCAAAGGGCTCCATCCTCCTCATTACTTTTTGTGGTTGTAGTTGATGCAAACTGTTTTATTCCTCTGACAAACTTGTCCAAATCTCCTTTGAATACTTTCTTCAATATGTACAGACCACCTTTCTCTCTACCAATCCCCATCACCTTGCCATTGTAGAGGTCCTGAAACTAGCAGAAGTCAGGAAAGAAATTCACTGAGCATGGCATTTGCCTAGTTGGCTTAGAAACTGACAAACGATTGAATTTGAACTCAGGCACAAACGAGACATCATCCAATTCCACTTTATCAAGAATGAGTGCTTTTCCAATGTGTGAAACACTAGCCTTTCCTCATGTAGGTAAGTGAACCTGTTCATTGCTACATGTACTTACTTTGTCCTTGGTCTCTAATACATCTAGATCATGAGCAATGTGATGTGTAGCTCCAGAGTCAATTATCCATTCTGTACAAGTTTGCCATTAAAGAGGTAGCAATACCTGCCATGTTAGCTTGGCATCCAGGAGTTTCCTTGTTCAACATGCTCAAATTTTTCCTGTACTGATCTTTAGTGAAGTATGGCCCTACCTTCAATCCATCACTACTGCCTTTCTCTCCATCTTGTTGTGTTGGCTTATCATTTTCAGAACCTCGAGTCACTATGTTAGCTGCATATGATCTCTTATTTTTGAAGTCAGTTGGGTAACCAATAAGCTTGTAATAGTTCTCCTTTGAATGGCCAGGTTTGTTGCAGTATTCACACTTCACAAAAGGCTTCTTTCTTTTGTATTGTTGTCCTATATTGTTTTGCATTCCTAATTGTCCTTTGCCTGCTTGCATAGCAACATGATCTCCTCTATTTCCTATATTTGAATTTGAATTTTGACTTTCATCCTCAATGATTAGAGCATACGCTTGATTCAATATTGGCTTTGTAGTTTTCATCAGGATCTGTCGCCTTGCTTGGTCATAGGTCTCATTGAGTATTGCATTTACCTTTGTTATTGAAGAAGCTCGACATATTCCTTCGAATTTGGAATGGGCACTATTGCATCATATTCTGCACACAACTCCTTAAGCTTGATGAAATAGGCAAATACAGAATTTGTTCCTTATGAGATAGTGGCTATCTCTCTATGTAATTGAAAACTTCTCACACGATTCACCTTGTCGAACCTTTTACTCAGATCCTCCCAAACCAAATGCGCATTAGATGCATATACAATACTGCTAAGTAAATCTAGAGACACTGTGTTCATGATCCAAGAAAGCACAATTGCATTACATGTTTCCCAGTCCTCATGTAATTCAGACTTGAATGAGTCCTTTTTGCATGTCCCGAGCACAAACCCTAGCTTCCTCTTAGCTTGCAATGCAATTCGCATCGATCGACGCCATAATCCATAATCCTCTGATCCAATAAGTTCTATGGGAATCAAAATTGAACTAGGAGTATCCGAGGGATGAAAAAACAAAGGATGTGCGCGGTCAATTTTTTCAGCCGCCATTGACGTCTGACAGTTGAAGCTTCGTGAAGAAGACGATGATGAAATCGTGGTAAATTGAACCAAATCTGCGGAATTTCAGCTCTTCATCGCTCTGATACCATGTGAGCTTGATGAATCTGAGAATCTGAGTTTATCTCTCAGATTCAACCATGCATTCACCGGTGGAATTCAATCTAGGAAGGAGCTTGAGAGACGAGGAGACATGCATAAATGAGAGAAAATGAATCTGTATTGAACAAATGTAATTACACGTGTATATGTACTACTAACTTAACTATGGTTCTAACAACTTAACCATGATCAGTTGGGACCCACTAACTACCTTAACTAACTAGAAACTAGCTTAACTACTTAATCACCAATTCTTCACCAACCACCCCAAAAAAATCTTTTTCGTGTCAATCACCCCAATTCTTGCAAAGTGTAAACCGACCAACTCATGCATTGAATAACTAATAAGTTATTTCCCGTATATATCTAGCTTTAGTTTTCTTTCGTTCGCAATTTATGTATGATGAATTTAGTTGGTTTACATTGAGTTATGTATAAATTAACGATCACTCCTTGAGAAATTGAGAAGTTTTCAAGCCTTTCAAGTCGCAAGTTAATAAAAATTGTGTATATATGTGAGCGTATATCTATGAGCATAACTTTTATGTGCAGATTATACATGTAAACAAATGTTCCTACAAAAAACTAATCATTTAAAAGATAGTTTCCACCAAGTCTCTACAGTAAAAATTAATTGATGCATAATATAATAAATAATTGTAACAATATTAACACAATACCCAAGATCAAACATAATATTAGGACACAATATAGCAAGGATGACAACATACATGTTTGAGTCATACCATAATTATAATTAATGAAAATCTGATGACCCCTTTTATTACCGGCCTCGTTAGGTTGAGCTTACACTCATCGCCACACTAGACCCCAAGCATATAAAGTGCATGGCCCAATAATTAATTATTACATTTATAATTGAACTCATGATTATAGACTATCATCTAACTTGAATATTTTAATATAAATAAAATATTTAATAATGTATGCCTATTTTTTTACAATAATATGTGTGCTATAATCCGTTAATTCTGGATCACGTGTCTAGATTAAGACAGGAAGAAATTGCACACCGGCCAATTGAAATTATTCAGGTCAGAGTTGCCTTTGGTTTGTAAGTTACCCCACAAAATCTAAAGCTTAATTTGAAGAATCTTCTTAGTCGTAGACCTAATTTTAGGCCTGATCATAAGAAGCCCCCCTCTCCCCCCACCACAAAAAAAGGAAAAGGGAAGATCAAATTATTGCGCAGAGAATGCAATGGTGATGGGTTGCATCCACGCGTTGTACTAAAGTACTAATTTTGAGTTGTAATTAAGAGTGTTCAAACCGAATCGAAAAATCGCACCAAAATCAAATCAAATCATTTTAAAAACTCGATTAAGTTTGGTATTAAGTAAAAAAGTCCGAACTAACCCGACATATAAATATATAATTTTTATATAAACTTATAAGATTTTATATAGAATTTTCTTTAAAAAATATCTAGAAATATTTGAGACTCTCATTGAATGTAATATTTAATAGAACTATGAAATGCATCCATATTTATTTACGTTATATAATGAGTTGTATCATCACTTTCTTATCAAGTGTTATTGAAATGCGTTAATCTCTTTGTTCTTTCATATTCATATGTCAAAATCTATTAAATTCTTATACATTTTTCGAATTCGAAATGGTAGTTCGATAATTTTAAAATTAAATAGAACATATCATTATTTAGGTTTCATATTGATTTTATGCTTAATTATTAATTTCGA